TAATAATTTAGAGACCAAATAATTAATATAATTTCGTGCAAGTTTAATTTAGTCTTCTGCGACCAAAAAAATTGGTCACTAAATATGTATTTTTAGTGACCAAAAACATTTAGTCAGCAATGGTATTACACTATTGGCGACCAATTTTTTTTATTTTGTCAGTGATAGTTCATGTTTTCGCTACTAAAATAATTTAGTCGTCATATGTTAATATTTTCCTAGTAAAATTTAGTCGCCGAATCTATATAAAATTTTAGTGGGAAATATTTCATATTGGTGCCTAAGTTTTTGCCCAAATCTCTTAGTCTTCACACGTATTACACTACTAGCGACCAAATTTTTTTTGTCTGTGATAGTTCATGTTTTCGCTACTAAAATAATTTAGTCGTCATATGTTAATATTTTCCTAGTAAAATTTAGTCGCCGAATCTATATAAAATTTTAGTGGGAAATATTTCATATTGGTGCCCAAGTTTTTGCCCAAATCTCTTAGTCTTTACACGGGTCTCTCTCTCTCTCTCTCTCAGACAATCAATCACCATCGCCCTCATCTCACCGTCGTACATAACCACAGTGTTCGTCAATTTTCCAAAGCCGAACATCGCCACCACAGCTCACCATTGTCTCGCGTTCCATTGACATTCAGGTTATTCTCTGTCCTTCTCTGTTTCTCTCGCTGTCTTCCTTTATTTTCCCATTTCACTCTAGCTCTAGGATTTTTAATTTTTTATTTTTTTTTATTTTTTATGTTGTAGGGTTTTGATTTTTGTGTTTTGAGTAAATGGGTTTTGATTTTTGTTCTAGATTTAGGGTTTTACAAGTTAAAGTTTTTAGATAGTTGATAATGAAATGAGTATTTTTTTTTTGATCAACAAAAAACTTTATTGATAGCATCAAACATATACATATGGATAACATTAATAAAGCAAAGGCAAAGAGCAGAAAGTATCACAGAGCTTTCCTTCATCCCAACTAGGTTGGTACCAAGAGAAACACCCAATCATATGCTAGCTCAAGCCAAAAGGTTGGTGAGAAACCAAGCCCAAAGCACAAAAAAACACTAAAACAAGCAAATAAATAAGATACCAGCAACTAAAAAACCAGTAACAACCAGCAAGCAAACACCAGCAGCAACAAAACAAAATACCAGTAGCAAAACAGAACAACAACAGCAACCCAATACTTCAACAGCCCTGAAGTAGCCAAGTCCCCATAGCAAGAATCACACTTACACATTGCCACCAATGCAAACTCTGATTTGCTTCATGTTAAATATGAAGTCATCAACTGAAAACTAAGCTAGTTTAGGAGATGTCTTCGCCCATAAAGCAACTCTAGTCTTGACCAACCCAATGACTTCATCAAGGCAAGGATTTGAGTTATTGAATTTACACTCATTTCTAAGCTTCCAAATAGACCTCAATGTTGCTAGAGGTATACTTCTCCATAACACTTTATTTGATTTCCTGACTTTGGCTCCATTCCACCAGAGCAGCAACCTTTCCACCAGAGCAGCAACCTTTCCACTGAATCCAGCAAAGCCCCAAAAAAACCCCACCATTTTGACATAGCAGCCCAAATATGACAAGAAAAAAGAGACAAAAGAAGGACATGGATTTAGATTATAATTGATAGATGTATTATTCTGTATTTGTACAGGTTCAGGTTGCATTGATAATGAAATGTATATAATTTAGAAATTAATGAAAAATATTCTATTTGTCTATTTTTAAAAAAATTAATAAACAGAGCTTTTGGCGATTAAACATTTAGTAGCCAAAAAATAAAAAGAGAACTTATTGGCGACTAAACAGTTAGTAGCCAAAAAAAATTAAAGTTTTGGCGACTAGAAAATTAATAGCTAAAAAGAAACACATGATTTTAGTGACTAAAAAATTGGTAACTAAAAAAGAGTGCCACGTTTTTAGCAACTAAATAATTGGTAGCCAAAAATTAGCGACTAAATATTTTAGTCGCTAAAACAAAAAGCACATTTATTGAAAACTTTGGGCGACTAAATTTTTAGTCGCCAATTGGTGACTTTCGGCGACTAAAAAAAAATTAGTTGCTAATACCTTTCCCGACAATCATCTAGCGACAAAGCTGGCGATCAAAAAGTTTAGTCGCAAAAATGTTTTGGCGACTAAAAATTTAGTCGCCAAAAATGTAATCTGTTGTAGTGATAGATTAATAGCTAAAAGATCATTTTGCCCTTCATTTGAAAATCAACAAAGTTATCTTGAATGTGATAATGACTTTTCCCTAATTTATAGATTTAATCTCAACTAACTAATATCATCACACCAGTACACAAATAAATACATTTTATCTTATATCTGTAATCTAATACTACCATACTAATAATCTCATCACTCAATTTTTACAGTACTCATAATTCCATCTAATCTAATTTATCAAACAAACCGAGGCTGGGAGTACCCTGTCACTTTCTTAAGTTTCTTTTTTCAAACTAAGAATATAATTGTTTATAAAGAATGCCTCATCTCAAATTTCTTCTAACTGAATTGATTTGTGTCACTTCAAAAGTCTTTGCCTTATCCGACAGTAAAGGTCATTATAGGAAATTACACTTTTATTGACTAAAAATTTTTTTGTCGCGAAAAACATATATTGACTGACTAAAAAAAATTAATAGTCAATTTTTTTTTTAATTTTCCACAACTAATGTGATTTAATCACAAAAATGTTGTGTTCTAGGACTAATTTGAAATGTTGATCGTGAAAACTAAAGGCTTGTGAAAAAAAAAAAGCGGGAGCAAAAAAACTTTTAACGACTAATGAATTTTGATCGCAGATATCAAAACAATGTCACTTTGATGGTCAGCAAATCTATTGTATTATGTGGCGATCAAAACTTGTAGTAGGGAAAAAAATTCAAACTATTATGAAATTTCACAAATCCGAGACCAAATGATTGGTCTGGATAGTCAATTTTTTTTTTAATTTTCCACAACTAATGTGATTTAATCACAAAAATGTTGTGTTCTAGGACTAATTTGAAATGTTGATCGTGAAAACTAAAGGCTTGTGAAAAAAAAAAAGCGGGAGCAAAAAAACTTTTAACGACTAATGAATTTTGATCGCAGATATCAAAACAACATCACTTTGATGGTCAGCAAATCTATTGTATTATGTGGCGATCAAAACTTGTAGTAGGGAAAAAAATTCAAACTATTCTGAAAATTCACAAATCCGAGACCAAATGATTGGTCTGGAAAAACAACTAATGCTTTTGGCCACTAAATTTGTTAGCTGGTGTTTCAATACTCACCAATGTTTTAAAAACTGGAATAGTGAGTAAATCGGAAAAAGGAATCAGTTAGAGGGGTTACTGGTTCGTCTGTCGTGTCGAACCAGAGGTAATGGATAATAAGAAAAACTTTGCTTGATTGATGACAAAATTCATTGCATTCCTTTATATTTGATATTTAATTAAGGTCAGATTGTTTATTGGAATTCTGTCTTTTATTTTGCTTCAAGTCACTTCTTAATCCCATAATTGATCTTTTTAACGTGATCATGTAGTAAAGAAAAGTTCAAGTTAAGAAACAAGAAAAATTCAAATAGAGAATCTTATCTTTTTAATTTAAAGTTTTCCATCCAAAGAAGTGTTTGCTGCCCACCCGTAGCAAATGAAGAAGAAAGGAATTCAATAATTAAAACTAAAATTTGATTTTATGAAGAGATTTTTATTTTTACTTTTTTTTTGCCTGGGGGAGGGGGGAACGGATAATGGTGATGCTTGATTATTAATCATTGCGATTGCCGGGGTTAATTCATTGTTAGATGAAAATTAATTAAAACTCATTGTAATATTAAGTTATGTTTGAAGGTGAACTTTTCTTTTTACCCGGATTAAAAAAAAAAAAAAAAATGAAAGTGAAACTGGTTACGATATGATTGTAATAAATTTGGTTACAATAAAAATGGTGATTGATTATGACAAGGAAGTTTTAATTATGACTAATGTAACTATAATTAATAATTTAAATTTATTTCCTTAAACTCAATGATTAAAAGTAATTGTGCACATAACATAATTTAAATTAAAAAAAGAAAAAAAAAAAAAACAGAAAAGGATATGCATGATAGAATTTTTCTTTCTTTTCATTGAATTAAAAAGTGATAGGAAAGAATGAAAATGGTAAAAAGTATCTAGGAAAGCTAAAAAAAATTTGACCCAACATAACTCACAAACAAAAGCACAATGAAAGCCTCCAGTGGCAATTAGGGCTCACTATCCAAGACCCAAAAAAGCTAAGCTGAACATGTTTGTGATACAAATGAACGAAAGCTAAGCAATAGATGCCAATGCCCTCTCCTTTTCTCTCTCTCTTTCTCTCTCTCCTCTCAGTCATTCAAATGTTTAGACAGTCTTTCATTCAATACACTTTCAAACCACCACTTTTTCAGACACCACCAAACCACACCTCCCTGGACCAAATTATGCAATGAGAGAGAGAGAGAGGAGCCGTCTAGGGTTAAGTCTGAAAGGCCTAGGCATAGCGATGACCCAGCAACTGTTTATGTTTCATAGAGTGTTCAGAAACTGAGAGGTGCTTAGTTACCCTGATAGAGAGAGACACTGTGACAGTGAGAGTTCTGAAGACTGACTGAACATAAAACAAATCAAAGATATGCCATTTAACTGCATTTAATAACGGTCCAATATCCACATCACAGATCCCAAAGAGATTGAAGTAAGAAGGTTTAGAAGATAGAATGAGAAACAGCATCATCAACTCATTGAGAATTCAGATCAATTAACACCTATCATATTCCAAATTGCCTAATCATAAGCATGCATGATGCATGAACATGATGGACCACACTGAGAAAAGTGTTTGACACAAATTTGAAAAACCAAAAAATAAAATAATTGTATTTTAAATTTTTTGTTATGTTGATCCCAAACTAGTTTAGACCATAAAAAGTTTTGTAGGAATATGCAAAACAAATGAAGAACAACACATCAACAATTACAAGTTAACAACATCAGTAATTAAAGCTGTTGATCAGCATCTTACTAGTATAAAACCCAACAAAGACAAGAAAAGAAAAACTACTTTCCCTCTTTTCCAACCTTTTTCCATGTTGATTTACAACCCAAAAAAACTAGAGTAAGAAAGGATTGGTGATGGATATTAGATGGATCTAAATAGTTGCCAAATAAAGACAAAACAAAGATGGGTCTTGATTACTCTTATCTTATATATTCATTCATATAAGAAGTTTTCTATTTTTCTAGATAAGCAAAGCACCTTTGGTCTTCGTCTTGATCTTTCTCAACTATGGCAGTGCACTGTATTGATTCAAGTCAGTCCATGCCTGAATTCCATTCCAGTTGCTTGTGGTTTCATTGCCATTGTAGGTAGTACTGTTGATTGGAATAGGATTTACAGGTGCATAAGAGCTGTCAAAGAACCACTCAGTTGCACTGTCTTTTCTTGAATTATTACCAACGGCACAAACCTCTGGTTTTGAGATCTCCAGATTCTGAAACATAATGGGTTGTGGCTTTTGAGTCTGGTTTTCAATTTCCAGAGGAACAGACGAGACACTGCTCTCCTTTTGATTCTCTCCACCGAAAAGCATCGCCAATCTTTGTTGCTGCAACTTCCAGTGCAAATCTTGGTTGATAGAACTCAAGGACTCAATAGAAGATGCAATATTACTATGAACATTCATCGAACCCAATTCTTGAACTCCCATACCAAATCCACCACTCTCCCCTTGTTTTAGTACAGAAGATAAAGGAAAATTGAGTCCCATACCCATTAGAGGATTAGAATTTCCCAATGTGTCCATACCAAAACAAGCGGCAGCACTGGAGGGGATTGCAGTGGAAGTTGTTGAAATGTCCCCAAATGAAGAAAACTGGTTAAATCCACCAGCAGGTGAAGAAGGAAGCCTAGGGAAAGAGAGACCAACCAAGCTGAAAATCCATGGCAGGAGGAGAGAGACCATGGAAGAACTTCAATCCGCCGATATCCGAAGATCCACCGGAGTCCTTTGAATCGCCGGAGAGCCTGGAAGATGATTTAATCTTCTTGCTTTTCCGGCAGCCACCGCCGATGGGGACGTTGCGCAAAGCTCCACCTTTAGTCCAGTACCTTCTACATGTCTTGCAGAAATGCCTTGGCTGTGTGAGACTGTAATTGTTGTAGTAGCAGAACTTTGTGTTGGGTGAATCACATCTTGGACACTTGAGGGCTTGTTCTGGTGGCCTCATCGATGTGGTTTTTCGGCTGCTGGAGCTCTGGCTTTCATCTTTTGAGGTCTGCTTTGCCGAAATGTTCTCTGCGGACATCATACAGCTTTGCTTGCACTGCTGAACAGAAGGAAACCCTAAATCACAGAATATAAAGTATATTTATCTGTATATATCACAGAGAGAGAGAGAGAGAGAGATTAGTTGTGGGTATCGAATGGGGTTGTTCAGTTTCCTATGGAAGAGGCAAAGATAGTGATCAATTGAATAGTTTCATGCATGGGGATGAAAGATGAAGGGATGTTGATGGGTTCTTGTGATCTTCATCAAGGAGGGACGGGGATGTGGGAAAATAAGCTGTGTTTAAAGGTTAGATCTGGTAAAATAGAGATATATCATAGAGAGAGGGAGAGGGGGAGAGAGAGAGAGAGAGAGAGAGCTAGAAAAGGAACTTGGGTATATATATACATGTAGAGAGATACAGAGAGGATGAGAGGAGAAGAGACAAGAAAAGTAGATGATCTGATAGTGATCTGGCAGAGTAGAGATATCCACATGTAGTCAAAAGAAAAATGTGAAATTTAAAAATAAAATAAAAAAGAAAATCAGTACAATATGTGGATGGAAGAACTTCTCGACAGTTGATGGTTTATGGGTTACACCAACATACCATCGTTATAATAATGGGTGATTATTTGATAGTTTGGAACTACGGTTACATAGTCTTTTATTATAGGAGAAAAATTAAGGATTATGAAATTTTTTTTATGAAAATAATTATGAAAAATTTATGACTCTTAGATTACTTTGATTAGTGTGTGGTGCTTTATTTTAAGTGTAATTCAAAGGTTATAAATCTTTCATAATCATTTTTATGAAATTTTTTTTATGATACCTAGCATTGCTCTTATCATAGTATGATTGGTAAAAAATATAATGTATTAATTATTTATATTAAGTGATTGAGAAATATAAAATATATAATAAATGATAATTGACAAGAGAATATGACCATTTTATATACTTTGAAACTATTGTATAATATCTATGATAATGAGGCAAAACAAAATGAAAAATAAATAACTTTGTTTGGTTATTTAGTTTTCAAAATTATATTTTGAGTTTTCAATTTGTATGTATTCTTTAATTTTTAGTAAATATTTTTAATATTTTGGTCAATTTTTTTATTTTATTTTTTAGATGCTTTTGATCTAAATGTAGTCAAAAAAAATAAAATATTTGTAAAGAAATTTTTAAAAATTCAATAAATACCACAAAATAGTGATTGGTTGGGACATGGCTGTTCGGCCCAATGGTCCATGTCTCTTGGGACAGTGAAAATATTAGATGTTCGGATTTGAGTTGATAGGGTGACTATGACTCTTTTGTTGTAATTTGACTAACTGATCGTCTAACACCTTATCGTATGACAAAAAAATAAAAATTAGTGACTGTTTGGAGATATTTATTTATTTATTTCATTAATAGTAAATTTTTTAAAAAAACTTTATACTTTTTTGGTTCTATTCAATTAGACAAACCAAAGAAGTAAAAAATAAAAATAAAAAAAGAAGAAGCAAAAAGTGATATTTTTAAAAAAAATTATGTCAATTTATTTATTAGTTTTAAGGCCTTGTGTCAACGAATCTAAAAATTAAAAAAAAAATTAAAATAATCCAAATAAAGTTTACCAAAGATAATTTTAAAAAAAATACACAAGATGACCTAAAAAGTAAAATATATTTGATATAATTTTTAAAAAGATCACTAAAGATAAAAATTTTAAAATATATATTTTAGCTATATCCCTAATTAACTCCTGGACGATAACTTATTATATTTACACTATGCAATGTGTATACACACACTTAACAAAAAAAAAAAAAAAAAAAAAAAAAAACTTAGATATAATTGTTGTAAAAAATAAAAATAAAAATAAAAATCTCTGTAAAATAAATAAAAAAAATTGCCAATATTAAATTATCAAATAATATCATTTCATCAATTATGTTGATTTCTCAGTCAAATCAAAATGAGAACAAAATAACATTTTTCATTGGATACAAAAAAGATCCCATTTTTATATTTACAGATCCACTATTTACTCAATCAAGATAAAATACAAAAAATTCTTTTATCAAAATTGCAGTATTTGAGGTCCCCAAACAACATATTGAAAATAATAATTTAAAAAATTGCAAACGGTCCAATGAAATTTTTTCACCTTGCACCTCAAATAGGCTTGAGTCACCTTCAGATGACTCGCACATAGGGATGTAAGAAAAATAAAAAAAACCGACTAAATCGATTGAATTGAACCAAACTGGTTATATTTGGTCTATTTTTTTAACAAGAATGGGTCTGTGCGGTTTTTAAATTTGATTTTTTTCGGTTTTCGGTTCGGTATCGGTTTAAACACTTTATACACCGATCTAAACCGAAACTGATCGCTTTAACATATATTGTATTTACAATATATATATATATATATATAATCTAATAATATAATGATATTAATAAGTATAATAAATTATTAACCTTAATTAGTTAACCTTATCATCTTTATAATCTAAGTTTGTAAATTCTTATTATGTATAATCTTAACTCTAACTCATTATTCTTGAAACCTTAGTATTTTTAAACTTTTTTTTTTGTTTTTTTGTTTTTTGTTAATTTATGAATTAAAAAGTATGTATTAAATGGATGGATTAGATATGTTTGAAATGGTAGACAAATAACTAATTTAATATTTTTATATAGATTAATGATTATATTTAAAAGTGGCTCAAGTTTGAAAAATTTTAAACCAATTAAACCGCACCAAATCGAACCATTTCAATCGGTTTGGTTTGGTGCGGTTTGATGGGAGAAACGGTCTGCATCAGTGTTTAAAATAATAAAATCGACATTATCGATTCGATATAATTTTTTATCTAAATACCGACCGTACCGAACCGATTACATCCCTCCTCGCACTGAAAAGCTCGTTCAGAAGATCAGATGTATGTGTTGGACTTGTTAGATCACATGCAGTTTTAGCACTTTCTTAAACTTATTGATCTATTATTTTTTATTTCATTAATAAAGAGTTTTTTTTTGATAAAAAAAAATCACATCAGATGCTTATGATATTTTGTAAAAAAATATTTATGTTGTTAATGGTTTAGAGTAAAATGAGTTAATATTAATGGTTTAAAGAGTAATTACTTAAATTGATAGTTGAAAGATAAGAGTGTGATAGTTTGAGCAGGTAAAGGAATTTTTTACTTCTTTAATTTAAAAGTTTATTCTAAAATATAGTGCAACTTCCAATTTATGAGACAAAGGCATAGTTTGGGAAGTTGGTTTTGGTGGGTTAGGGGCTAAAATAGTCACAAAAAATAAAATAGGCTATTTTAGCCACAAAAAATAAAACATCAAATCTAACCCATAATCATTACACTTCTCTCTCACAAAAAAAGTCAAAAAAGTTAAAAAGCCAAAAAGCTCTTCCCAAACCAGACTTTTTAACCCCAGGTTAAAATAGTCAAAAAATTAAAAAGCCAAAAAGTCAACCTACTTCCCAAACGGATGCAAAATTAGAAAATTTTAATTATCTGAAAATTGTTAAATGAACGCTTTTGGCTTCTTTTTAAAATAAACTTTCAACATAAAAAAAATCACGCCAAGCAAAGCATAAACAAATTGCCTATTTTCTTTAGTTGAAGGTTAATTTTTCGCATACTTGAATATAATAAAAAAAAAATAGATTGTTTGATTGTTTTTAAACACAAATTATAACTACATCGACTAATTCAATACGAAATTAAAAAATAATGGTGGGTTTTTTTTACTATGTTGTGATGGATGTATATATGCACATGCACACATGCATGAATATATATAGATAGTCATAGTTGTTGGGGGCGATTGGATAGAATATTAGCTTGTAAAGTAAAATCAGAACACCACTGACAACAGGCATGTATAGTAAAAGAGTAGTAGTACTAGGGTTGGGGGGGGCTTCAGTGAGGCAGCAGCATCAGTGGAGCAGTAGCAGTGGCACAACAGCTTTGTCTCTTCCTTCCCTTGTGATGTCCCTTTTAACCCCACCTCGAGGGGTGTACATTTGGCCTACCGGCCCGTGGCACACCTAAAGTTTGTCTGGGGTCTAATACGGGTTGACCTGGTTAATTGGGCCAGGATCAGAATCTAGCTCGGGATCTTGAGTCTGGACCTGAGTCATTTGTTTCAAAACTCGGCCCGACTTATAAGCATGATCCACTAGGCCCAGTTCAAAGCCCAACACATTGGCCTGCTCAAGGCCCGACACCAGGTCGGGCCCGCCTGAGACCCAGTAGCATTTTTGGTAAAAAAATAAAAATAAAAAAAGAAAAAGTCTGTCCCAGCCTGAGACTCAAGTATACCTTGGGCTTGGGCTGCCATTTTGAGCAAGTAGGACGGCCTCGCCTGGCTCGATTTTTAGCGAGAGCCTGCACAACTTGATAGTGGGTCGGCCCGAGCTTGGGCCCGGATGGGCTGGGTCGGGCCAAATTTGCATCCTACCTCTCTTTACTTGAAAAAATTATTCCAAGGACACCACGTGGCCATACTCCTTGCCAATTACAATTCATCACATCACTTCATATTCTCCAATCATTCAACACAAATTAGTGAATCCACTTCCTCCACCAATTAAAACATCGTTAGGGTAACCACGTGGCGGTCTCCCAAGACCAACCAATAACTCCTCCTTTACTTGACTTTAGTGGTTCCTAGAGGAAACTCACATGAAAAAATAGGCCTATCTTTTTCAACATTATACTTGTTTTTTTCACTATGTGGTCACATTTGTTTGGCAGATTAAATTGGATAGAATTATGAGTGCGGTGGGATTGAGTGAGGAGTTAGTAATATAGTGACAATAAATTGAAAATATAAGATAAAGTGTGTTTATTTGTTTAGTAGTGGGTTGATATTATTTGATTGAGATTAAGCATGTAAACTTACATATTTACCCTTTTCATCATAGAATCATTGAAACTAAGGGACAAAATGGTCTTTTTACCATCAATCCCACCTGTCACCCATCTTTGCTAATCTACTCATAGTGGTGGACTACTACTCCAATTAGAGTGCTAATCCTCTTATAACTTTTCTAACCAAACATGTTATGAGTGAGGCTCACCTTACTCATAGTATCATACAAGAACCAATCACATGTCCAAGTTAAAAAAAGAAAAAAAAGAAAAAAAAAGGGATTTTTTAGTCTATATAGTAATCTTTTGGTAATGCACATATTCTAGAAGTAGTTATGGGTCGATCCTATTGAATAAACTTATTTACCTATAAGTCTTGCTTCTTTTCTCAACATCAATATTTCTAAAATGCCTTCTCCTTATCTCATTCATCACATCACCTTACACAACAATCAATTACCTGTGGTCACTAGAGACAACCTTTAACCTTTGGCGATGATT